GGAACGGGGCTCTGCTTAATCTTGTTTTGAAGTGTGACCTGACAAGGTTGGGAGGCGGAAAAGGAGGAGGGATACCTTTCCAGCTGATAAAACTTTAAGACAGACTGAGGGCTGCTGTAAAATATTTTAAAGTGAAACTGGTTTAAATCCAATCTTAATGGGAGATTAAGGGGCAGACAGAAGGGTCCAGTCTCCATCCTCAAGTATGTGACATGCCCAGGTGACATGAGCCAAGCTAAACTGGAAATCAGTGCACAAATGGAACTTCATTCTAGCCTATAGAAAAGTTATTGTAGCACAGCCTCTGCTAGAGTCACCTGGCACAGCCACTGGAACTGATGTCCTGCTTGAACTGTCCTGTCTCACTTGCATTCCTGAGCCATCAACAGCACGTGGATGGGCAGGCAGCAGTCAGCAAGTCTGTTACAAAAATAGAAACACAATAGATCTTTCCGTTTGCCAGTGTGTCTTTCCCAGTCCTTTCCCTTTTTTACTGTCAGTGAAATGGAGAGGCATGTCGGGTGCTGTGTCCCAGCTGGACATGACCTAAGCACATCTGAGGGTGTTCTGATCTAGTTTTAGTCCAGGCAAAAGCAAATAATTTTTATTGGAGTCTACCCAAAGGTTTGAAGCAATCATACTGTAAATGGGATGTTGTAACGAGCCTTTTTCATAATTCTTCATAATTTGCTTTGTCTTATTCTCATATAAATCAAACTAAATCAATCTGAAGGGCTGAAGCAATTACAAGCGATGGAATCTTAGCAGTGGCAGCCCATGGGAAGATAAGTCTGCCACCTCCCTCAGCCATCTTACTGCTGCTCTCATTGCCATGTGACCTGGCACCTAAGGCACAGACAGTCACACTCGGGTTCCTGACTCTGCTAATTTCACCTGCCTCGGCAGGTGGTGCATGGTAACTAGAATCACCCTGGGCCAAGAGTATGTATTGTACATCTCACATGTAAGGTCATTGCTCCCTTCAGATGGTTGCAACACTTGTACAGTTTAAAATTCAATCTTTAGGAATTGCCTCAATTTGTCTGTGAGTGGTAACAACTAGGTCATTATAAATGGACACTTCTTTAAAATAAAAATAAATTTTCATCAGCAAACTAATTTAATGTGCCATGAACACAGAAGTAAGTTAGTTAGTTTCTGTTTCCAATTTTCAGATACTTGCAGTTGAATTGCAAATAAACCAAGAGCACTTGATGCCTATAAAATATTTTTTTCATTTTTAGTTCATAATTTCATGCTGCTTTTTTAATGTGTCTTTGAATTATCACTGTGACTTCCTGTGTTTCTGTAAAGAAGGAGAAAGAACTGTTCTCCATCCCAGGGATATGCCATGTCATATCTACTGTTTTCTTTTCCTTTATTTTCCTAGATCTCCTAGATTGAATGTCTTATGAAATAAAGAGTAAAAGATTATGACAGTTCTAGGGAAAACTCTTGAATAATTTACTCCAGATTTTGAATTAGAGAAAGCACTTTGCTGTATATTTACACTTGACTTTTAATTAACTCTTGAGTGTTTGAAACAACAGCATCTCAGCAGCCAAGGAGACCTTGTGAAGATGTTTCCCTTCGCTTAGTAGCCTACTGTAAGATTTTAAAAAAATGATCTGCAAATTTTTTCATGGATTTTTTTCCCCTGGTATCTTCTAATCAATATGAAATGTGAAAATCCCCTTTCTTTTAAACAATAAGAAGAGCAGCAGGCACTTATCTCTCCTCTGTGGTGACCAGTGACAGGACCCAAGGGAATGGCCCTGAAATTATGCCAGGGGATTGAATATTAGAAAAAGGTTCTGCCCCCAGAGGGTGGTTGGGCACTGGAACAGGCTCCCCAAGGCAGTGGTCACAGCACCAAGCCTGAGAGGGTTCAAGAAGCACTTGGACAATACTCTCAGGCAGCTGGTGTGACTGTTGGAGATGGTCCTGTGCAGTGCTAAGGGTTGGATGGAATGATCCTTGTGGGTCCCTTCCAACTCAGCATCTTCTGTGATTCTCATTTTTTTGATTGTAAAAAAATGTATTTTCATATACTTATCCCAGATCAAAGTATAAGAAACGATATATATGTCATTTCTGGAAAGGGCAGAGTTTCTACAGGTTGATATTACTTCTGTAGACTTTTTAAGGGGAATCTGTTCTGGTGGTATCCAGCAAAATAATTTGCTTCTGTGACTTCTTTTCCTTCAGATCTTCCCTTTAAAGTAAACCAAACCAAATTTTGCTGGACATCTTCCTTTGGGAGGAAGGAAGGTTTGTGCCAGCCAAACAGCTTTCTAATTCCCTGTTTCATTTCCTGAAAACACAAATTAGGGCTGAGCTGCTGGGTGTCTGAACTACTCCCTGTTGTCTTTGTCGTATCTGTTATCTCAGATGCTGTTGAGAAGACCATATAAAAGAGCATACAGCAGTTGTGACCAACCACACAGTAATATAATAAAGGTTCATCCTTCCTCACACAAAACATATGTTTGTTTAATATTGTAATATTTGAAAGAAGTCCAGAAATAGTGTAATTTTTATGACTAAGCAGAGCAGTGTTTCAAGAAACATTGCTGGTTCAGAATGCTCCTGATGTCTTGGACCCTCTGACTTTTGATGCTGGAGACTGAAGCAGTGCTTTAGTGAGTAGTACTTGCACATTTTGAGTGGTAGGGAAAATGTAAAGTGCTCTTGATAACACTTGATGGTAGCAACCATCATCATGGACCAGACCCCAAAAGACAGATTGGCATCGCACTTGCCACCTTGGTCTTTGTCTTGCTGAATGTCTGATCAGCCAAGTCAAGGTTCCTGTTCTCTAAGGAGGATTCTTTGGGTCACTAGCTGATGTATTTATTAATGCAAACTATCTGTTCACCTCTGATGGAATTGTTTCAATAACATCTTTCTTAAGATTGTTCTGGTTTTGCGTATCTTTTTATGATATTCTGCATTTTTTCCCCTTTAGCCTTTATGCTGAAAACTTCTATAAAAATAGTTATCCATTTAAATGGACTTTGTCTACTTCTTATTAAACAGAAATCTTTGTGTTTCGGTAAAATCTGTGGATCTGTTTGGAAAAGGCTTTTTTCAAGGAGACAAAATTTTCATTTGAAAAGTAGCATAATTTTCTGGTTTGTCTAACTTATTACTTAGGCTACCTTTTAATTTCTGTTACTTTTTTTGTCCCTGCAACAGGTGTAAACATCCTGGCACTTAGCCAAATAGAGAAATAGCATGCTAATTTCAGTGTCTTTACACTTATTTATGTAGTGAAGGCTGATATTTTAAAAAATGCAAACATCCCAGTGACAATTAGTCTATAGGTGCTGCACCTGGAACTTGGCAACAGGACTTCCCCAGAGCCTACTTGAACCGTTTCCTTCTGGCTCAGAGAAGAGTCTGGTTTCCTTATGCTACTTCCTGGCTGCTGAAATTCTACCTTCCTTTCTTATTTTCCTTATCTGATTTATTTCTAATGTCTGTGGATGTTTAGCTAACTTTACTTACAAACAAGTATACCCACATATGACTTCCACTGCCTCTTCCCTGAAGGCTAATGTGAAATCCAGCTGAGAAAAGCCTCTGGTACCATCCTTTAGCTTCATTGTTGTAAAAATGCAAGGGATTCCAACAGCTTGGCTGCCTGAACTGGGAGGGTGCTGAGAAGGTGTAGGCAGGATGGCTCTGTGGGTCCATATCTTAAACCGATGGCAGTGTTATAATTAAAAAAAAAAAAAAAGATGTGATACATCTTATATACAAAAACAATAGATGCTCTGGTTACTGATTTACATACATGAAAACAGAAGCAGAAACTTTGCCTGCGCACATCCTTCAGTGCCATGAAAAGATGGCACTAGAGCAGAGCCTTTGTCACTCCAAGCTTAGGATCCCACATACTTGTCCACGATGTCACTGAAGGGAAGGAGTTCTTTTAAGAACAGGACACTGAAACAACCACAAAATGTTAGAGAAGCCAGAATTTACTAACAATAAGCAATATGAGATCTGTACTCCCAGCTCAGTCTTGTACTCCACTTGAAAGGCTATGGAAACCTCTGCTAATTTTATATCCTGTAGTTTGCAACCGCATCCAGTAGGACTTGTTATATAAATTACAAGGGCAGTAGCTGATGGGATACTACTCAAGGCTAAATCTCAGAATCTTGTGGTTCCTGGGAGAATCTTCTTTTGGGGTTGGGTTGTGTAAATTCACCTCCTTCCCCATTTAGCTGTGCAGAGCTCCAGAAGCAGAAAGATCTCCCTGTTCTAATTTGCCCATATTTCATTTATTGGCCCTACCAATCTAGTGTCTTTTTAATCTACTGTACTGCTGTTCCATGAAGCAGTCTGGGCTACCAGCTGCCAGAAAACATTAATGAATGGTTGCTGTGCATACAGAGGGCAATTGCATGTTCATAGAGCAAAGGGGAAGGTCTCCTGGGCATCCCTGGGCAAAGTGTACTGGTGAGTGCTAGGACACTTTAAGCCACCTTTTACCCTTGTCCTCCCTATGGTCCTGCACTGATCCCTGCCTCCAGAAGGTCATGTTTCCATTCTTCCTTGAGGTGGCTCTTTCCACTTATGTAGGTAGCCAGCCTGTTTCCCCAGCAGAAGGAGGATTCTTAGCCAGTTCGACTCTTGTGTAAAACATCAGTGAGATATTAAGCAAAACATCTTAATTAGCAGCAAAAAAGGAATTTTTATTCCACACAATTTGGGAAGTGAACACGGAAACTTGAAAAATTAGAACATAATACGGAAAGTATTCTACTTGCAATATTAATAATACTAATGGAAATACTAATATTTTATCTGATGACTTTGACACCAAAAGTAGGCAGGTAGCGGTGAAGTTTGCTCATGAGATACAGCTGTGAAATGTTGTCAATATAGCTGAAGTCAGAGACAACATAAAAGGTGAATTGGAAAGTCTTGGGGACGTGAAATTCCGTCAAACTAGATCGTGCCCTTGCATACTGATGAGAAGTATTTCTCTTATGAGCTGGGACTCCATCGTTTGAAATGATGACCAAGAAGAAGCCTGGCCTGTGCTGCTTGTTCCTGAGGCGGCTGAGCTCTCAGTGCTGTGTAACTCTGCTTTTGGCTCCTGCCATTTCAAAAGGCACCCTGACAGCCCATGGAGTAAGACTATATCTCAGCTGGCTCCCTGGTGTGCCACAGCTCTCCCTGGGCTGCAGAAGGTAAGTGGTAGTGTATTACTGACATGCTGGCAGTCATCTCGACTGAATTCATCCTCATGCATTAACATTCAAGAGAGAAATGAGGACTTCATCACTCCAGGGAGGAAGCAGACTTTCTGCATGACCTGTGGGGCTTTTCTGTATGGCTTGAGAAATTGGCTTATTGAACTTTTAATCTGAGGTAATGTTTTAAGTTTAGTAATAATAGAGACATTTTTTCTTTAAAATGCCCTCATTTTTTCTCTTTAGTGGCCCTTTCTCCACAATGAGGGCTGGTTTTGAGAAGAGGGCCTAACTATGGCTGAGAGGAGGGAAACGCAAAGCAGTAGTCTGACGTGGCATTCTGCGTAAACCTGCCTGTTTGGTTTCAAGATGTGTCTCATGGGGCAGTTTTACTATCCCCAGCACAGCTACTGATGCCTGTCCTGAAGTAAGATAATTGGTTATGATCTGTCCTGCCCAAATATCTACAACCCCTTTCTGGAGTTAGTAAAAAATCTTCCTTACCGGCCAACCTTCAAGTGTACCTTCAAGAGGGACATAAAACCCAGCACGACTCCCTTATCACATGGCATTAACTGACATGGCGCTGTCATTTTCGATATGTGTGACTTCTTGCCTCCAAGCCCCATGCTGAGATCTCGTGTTCCTTTTTTCCCCAGGGTCATGTCGTACACAGAGTCCCCACTGTGTGTTTGCTTTGCTGGGTCAAGGAAAACATGAGATGACAATTTTATCCTTTCCTATTAATGGTTGAATGTAGAGAAGAAAAAACAAGGTCTTTGTGGATTTCATCTTCAAGACTGAATTTATAAATCAGGGCAAAATGTAAAGATGGACCCTCTCCAGGGCTTTTGATCTCCTGCACCTTTAAGAGAGGGGTAGCAGGGTGGCATCTTCCAGGCTCTATAGCTGTCACAGATTTTAACTGTTTTCTTCTGAATAGCAAGTATTTGATTCAAAGGGTGCCTGGCAAAAGATTCTTGTATTTTTCCAGTGGCAACATTGAAAAAATTTCATGTATATATAAGATCCAGCATCCACATAGGCTGTTGGTGTTTTCTGCAACTTTTTGTAAGTTTGGGGAAAACATATTAATAAGTACTGTTTCTCTTTCTTTCTTTAAAAAAGACAAGGAGAGAAAGCCTGCATTTTCTGCCATTTCCCAAGAGGCTTTTTATCTGTTTAAACCAACTAGGGATTTTTCACATATTGACATAAGCATTCATTTGCTAATTTGCTAGACATTAAACTGCACAGCATTCTTGAATGAGACTGGAATACTTGGGTACTTAGTGCTGCTCAGACCCCCGCATCATTCCCAGTACACATATGGTTTTCCTCCTCTATCTCCTAGATAAAAGTCACTGTTTGATCGCCTTAAGGAAAAGAATGAGTTAAATGGACCAATATTCTAGCCTTGGCTCTAAAACTGGGCCTTTTCAGAAACTCCTCAGCACCTGCAGCAGCTAGGTCATTTGCACATACATAAATAAATAAATTAACAATGAATAAATAATTTAATCCCACCACACAATGCCATCTCGCAGATCTGATCCTTTGCTCCCAGTGAATTTGTCCATTCCTAATTCTTTTTGATAAAGTCCTCAGATACTTGCTGACTGTCAGTCTAATTTTCTTATTGTTTTCGCTTGATTAGTTCTGTATGACCTAAGGTCGCCCTTAAAATCCACATCTCTCGTGAAGACTCCGAAAGGCCTTCTTTTTTCAAAGGGATGGAAAGTGCCTGCCATTTCTCCGGACAAAAGCCTGGAAGGTTTTCAGTTATTAGCCTCCTGAAGCAGCCCTTTCGCTCACCCAAGCGCAAAAAAAACTCATTAGGGGGCACCTTTCTTTCTGGCTTCTTTATCTGATGCATGTAGGGCTTACGTGTTTCAAGATTTGCAGGTCTTGGATGAATTTGGACAGCCTCGCTTTTAACCCTGCCGGACTGCGGTTATGCCCACCACAGACATTTGCTGTAGCTCCATGCCCTGAACCACCTGGAGATGCTTTGTCTTTTCAAAAGGTGCTTTACACCCCGTTTTGTGGTGAGCAGCAGACACTCCAGCATGCTGCTGCACTTGGAAGCCACTCTCACACACAGGGTGTGGGTAGAAAGGCAGGCAAGGCTGCCAACTGATGACAGACTCCACATTTTATACTTTGTGATAAGTTCATGTGTCTATCATGCAGCCCTTATTACCATTGGAGTGATTTGCAAGACTAAGGCAGTATGGCCCTGAGAGCCTGCCATGACTGGGCTGCACTGTGCCCTGGTGTGCTTTTTCTGGTGTGCTTATTCTTTTTCAGGTGGCAACGTAAATACTTGGTAAATACTCTTCTCACACCTGAGGCATGTCAGGTGGGCTAGGGAGAATCCCTAAAGATGCATCCTTATACACATTATAAGTGGGCATCTTGCCATTCAGAGGGCATGTGCAAAGTTGCCAGCTCCTGCATTTGCTTGAGCTGACAGAGGTTATAAATCAGGACAGTATCTGGTTTGCTATGCTTAAACAGCGCTGCCCAGCAATGCCATACCTATGGTTACCTTTTAAGAAGAAAAATAACCTGAAATTGTACTGGCAGGTATTACAATAAGGAAAGTTGCTCACTTATCTAGACTCTGGTATTTTGTTAAGGAGACACTTCATTTGATTGAAAAAAGAGCTAGGAACAAGCCAATTGTTTCTCTGTCAGAAAGGGCTGCCCAGTGTCTTTGATGAGAGACCTCAGTTTGGGCTGGAATCTGAGCCTAAAGAGGATAATGATGCACAGAAATAGAAGAAAAATAATCAGATCCAAAAGGCCTAGGTGGAAGATATCCTTGGCAGATGTCTTGCTCCTGCAATACTACTTTTGGTCCTGAAGATCATCTTGTCTTCCACTGGGGTAGAACTGACTATGATCCCTCTGGGTTAAAATATGATAGAAAAGCTCAGGGCTGCAGCTGAGGTCCTACTTCCAAGCATGCAGGGGACAGTTTTGTGGCCACCAATCTTTGTCCTGGTCATTTTCAGGGATAGTCTTCTTGTTAATTTGGAAGAATGTACCATTATGACCACTATTTTTTTCTGAACTTGCCAGTTCCTCTGAAATCCCTGTGATACCAACACTTTACCTCAATCTATTTTCCTTCTGAAATCTGGCTCCTCTGAAATCTGAGTGAGGCAGCACTCAGTGAAGTAAAGGAAGTCGTGTGCATGAGGCTGAGCTTATGTGCAAATCCTTGCAGGGTCAACACTGTGAACTGCATTATTTTTTCCACTGGCATAAATTTTGAGCAGCAATTAGTTGGATATAGTGTCAAATAATGTGGAAACTATGTGATCTACTCCATAGTACAAATTAAGTTACATTATTGTCTGAAGAATAGCAGAAACAAGAAGAAGTGAGAAATTAGGGGGGAATTTTGGACTGCAACCTGGCAGTAATTTAGAATCATAGAATCATGAAATGGTGTGGTTTGGAAGGGACCTCAAAGATCATCTAGTTACTCTTGATTTAGTATCCTCTAACAGTTAGGGTCTTGCTTACTGTTACAAATCTGCCAGCTGGGTAGCTGTCAAAATTAATTCCACTTTGTGTAACCTAGGTGATCTCCTCTCCTGGAAAACTGCAGGACTACAGTTGGTCCTGAAACACATCATTGGGACCACATAGAAATTGTTATATTGTGATATATCAAATCTGTAGAGGCAGCTGAAGGCACCAGGAAACAAATCACAAGGAGAAATTATATCAGCATGATAACAGGCGGAGTCTTTTTTAGAACTTTTTGCATCAGTTTATTTCCCTATCTCAAGCTATGCGGGAGAATTTGAAGCTTACTGAATAAACACTATGCAGTGATAAAGAAGGAGTTTGAAGATTGAGAAGAAGTTAACTCTTAATGTGTCACTGAGGAGATCATGTATCTTGTGTTGAAGTATTAAGACATAAAAACTTGGAAATCATGGTAAAAATAAGGCTGAACCATGATGGGTGGTAATGTCCCTGGAGATCCACTAACTATCCCTCATTCAGAGGATTTTCTATCTGAGTAATCATTATTTTAGCAGTCTGGTGTCTATTGGCATAAAGCTATGATCCTTGGAAAAATTTCTGAAAACATCAATGACTTTCCTGGGAGTTTGCTGGTTAAACACACAGTTATTTGGCTAATAAATAGAATAACTTCATGTTTTTCTTACAAATAGTCATTATCTGTTGTTAAGGCTGTCCTGTGCAAGGCCATGTTGGACCTTGATGATCCTTGTGGGTCCCTTCAAACCTAGGATATTCTACGATTCTATAATTTAGTGTCATCGTATTTTATCTTTTAGTGTGTTGAGGGAAGGTTTGACAACTAGTCTGAAATAGCCCTGGAACTCAGAAGACTTGAGAAACTTTAGTTATAAACAAGGACAACACATTGGGTTTTCAGGATTTTGTGAAACATTTCGCTACACCTCAAAGTCTCAATATTTTCCCAATGCCAGGTATTGTCCACACTGAAAAGGAGCTGAAAACTTAAGGTTAGGTAAAAGCTCAGGTGTGATTCTGACATCCTAGTGGTCAGGTGTGGGCAAATATAGTTTATTTCAGTGGGAAAAAAATAGTGGTTGTGAAGCTCTGTTCTAACATGGTATGCTGTTCCAAAAATGGAAGGAAACTGGGTGAGTAGGTGGTTCAGCACCAAAATAGCAAAATCTTTCTTTTTAAAATGCATGAAGCACAAGCTTCAGCAGCAAAACTGGATGCTGATGAATTCTAAAAAAATAAATTCTTTTTCTAAAGAAGAGTTTAAACATTGGCTATGCTATAATGTATCTATTTGCAGTGAAATGCCAGTTCCTAAGTACACTCATGGGAGGGAACGCACTTCTATTTTCTTCACTCGTGTTAGCAGCCAGAGCTGGTAAAATTTCTGTGACTGTAATGAAGAGGAGAAGAGAGAGGAAATTATTTCCGTTTAAATGAATGGCAAAATTCTCCCCTAGTGTGCATGTGCTTAAGAATATAGATTTTCTGATTTTATGTGTAGATGTTTTATACATGGAGTTCCTGAAGCCCTTTGCTTCACGTTGTCAAAGATGGCAGAAGAATAACATAACTGCAGTTACACAGACATCTTGGAGCTAAACCAGTGCCATGGAGAGGCTCAAGCTTCTAAATTTGACATTTTGACAATCAGATTATGGAGAAAGGATGCTGGCTTTCAGTGGATGGCTAACAGTTTTGTCTGAAATGGTGCTTTCTTGGGGGAAATAGTAAAAAACCCCATTCTTCCCCACCCAAAATTCTTTCCATGTGTTCTGCAGTACGTGCAACTAGTACATTAAAAGTATTTGTCAACTGGGATTTGTCATCAGTTGTTACAGTTTAGTGGCCGGGCTGGCTACACCTTCAGTTTGTGCAACAGTCACACAAAAATGATATTTTTTTGTAATTAAATGTGATATTATAGCATGGTCTAGCCCCTCTGAAATATCTGAGCAGATAAATTAGGCTACTTGCCAGGCAGCAATGCAGGTGGGATTCAGCTGCCCTGATTTTGATCCTACTTGTATATCTGAATCTGACCTATTTATCCTACATTCCCTCTTGATTCAAAAGAGGAGACATAGATATTCCAAGGAAAATCAGCTCATCTTAAAAGGAGAAAATAAAATCTGTCTTATAAATTGTCCTCTGGAGGTACCTGTTTATCCCTCTTGATTAGAAAGATTGCTTTGAATGATTAATTCATTCTTAGACCTCTACCTTTGAAACACCTAACAGTTTAAAGTCAGATGGTCATAAAGTTCAGTATGTCCTTCTATTATCAGGCCACTGAAATTATTTTTCTTTTGTGGTATGGTGTTACATTATGACAAATACATGAATTTTTCCAAGTACATGAAGTACAATTTTTCCAAGTACGTGAATGAAGAAGTCCCACTGGTCTTCTCCCATCTTTGTATTTTAGTCTGGTGAGGAATGAAACTCACCAGCGTTCTGCCTGTGTGTTTGTGGACCTACAGGCTCTAAAGCATACTATGTCCTCACCTTATGCCCTGGTTAGCTGTGATGAGATGCTCAAAGACATTTTGTGCCCTACCAAATCATTGTCATTTTCCTGCAGTAACTTCTTATCTTTATTTTTTTCTACTTGCAGTTACAGTGCCTGGAAAACTCTTTGAAAGGCCTTTAGGAAGCTGGATGCTGGCAGCAGGGGTTACCTCTCTGTTCCAGAACTCCAGTCCTAAAATTCCTGTAACTTCCTGCTAAAAGAGGATGAAGTTTAGCATTCTCTCTCTAAATTTGATCTTAAACTGAAAAGGCAAATTGATTACAAATCCTCTTTGGAAGAGGCTCATAAAAAGCTGGCCAAATACAGCCAAAGAAACCCTTTGGAAACCTGCTACAAATTAACATAGCATATTTTCATGACTAGCAGAACAACACGTATGTTCTCCCAGTTGCCTATCCTTGTAGCTATGTCATACACTCCTCGTAGGGATGCACGTCTTTTACCTACTTGTTGCCTGCCATATCTAATAGTGTAAGTTGCTTTGTGAAAGGGTGGTAGAAACCCCTTCTGAGAGTATAAAGCAAAGCTGACTGTAACACAGTTGCTAACTGCATGTAACATACAACAGACTAAGAAAATCAATGCCAAGATGCTGCCTCTCTAGTCCACTCTGGTGAGACCCTACCTGGAGTGCTGCATCCAGCTCTGGGATCCCCAGCACAGGCAAGACATCAACCTGTTGGAACAAGTCCAGAGGGGGGCCACCAAGATGATTAGAGGGATGGAGGACCTCTCCTATGAGGAAAGGCTACAAGAATTGGGATTGTTCAGCTGGGAGAAGAGAAGGGTAACCTAATTATGGTCTTCCAGTATCTGGAGGGAGCCTACTAGAAAGATAGAGAGAGACTTTTCACAAGGTCATATAGTGACAAGAGAAAGGGAATGGCTTCAGACTGAAAGAAAGTAGGCTTAGATTAGATATTAGATAAAAATTCTTTACTGTGAGAGTAGTGAGGTACTGGAACAGGTTACCCAGAGAGGGTATGAATGCTCCATCCCTGGAAGTGTTCAAGATCATGCTGAATGGAGCCTAGTCTAGTGAAGGGTATTCCAGTCCGTGGCAGGGGATTGGAACTAGATGATCATTCCAACCTAAATCCTTCTATGATTCTATAATTAAAGTTGCAGCATGGAGAGCTGCAAACAGCTTTTGAGAAGATGTAAAATTTGGTGAAGAACAGCATGTCATGTTGCTGCTTGGAATCTCACCATAGTAAAGTCATTTGACCTCATAGAGTTGGATTAGCTCCTGCATAAGCACACAGATGGAGGTTGGCCTTTCATTCAAGTGTAGATTTTTGTTTGGGGTTTTTTGTTGGAGAAATATTTTATGCACTGAGTACCGGAGGCACTAGGACCTGCTCTGTACATGACTTCACTTTCATGATCAGAGTAATTGTGTGTTTAAAATCAGATTAGATTATGTGCTTCCCATACATCTTCATAAACATGTGGCTGCATAGTTGAATTAATAAAATGAGAATAAGGAGCCACTGAAACATGTATTGCTTACATGTTTGGTAAGGTATCTGTGATGCAGCTTCATTGTGTCTTCTCATGGAAGTAACTATAGCTTCATGGATGCCCAGGAAGCTTGGCCTACCTGCGATAGCTAAGGATGTATGCACAATATATACACATGGGTAACAAGCATATAGGGTCTCATTTGCTTTAACATACTGTCTTTTCTGCAAATGGTGATTTGTAACCTGGTGGAAACAGTGGCACCTTTAATCATCATTTAACTAAATTTCCTTGATCTCTGCTGTCTAATAGGTTTTGGCATTATGCAGCAAATTATGTACTCTTGCTCATGCTTTTTTCCAGTTACTTTCTCGTCTTTTCTAGACATCAAAGAGAATTTAAGTGGGTGGTCAAAAACTAAGTGATCCCAGTTATGGGGTAGAAAACTGGAATGCTTTATTGAAGACACGCTTCGCAATATAAGGGTCTTGGGGGCAGGACATGTTAATGAGGAGGATGAGCTATGTTAATTAGGGAACTACACAAGGTTTTACTGCAGTTACCCAATAGGTTAATATTTCCCTCAACCAAGATTACATAGGGGGAAAGGGATTAAAAGGTTTACACATGGTCTGATACAATCATCTCAAGAGTCCTTTCTTATTTCTGCTGGAGCCAGGCTTAATCCATAAGGTTGAATCTTTAACCGGTCTTGTGAGGAGGATTCAGTCCTTCAGATCAAGGGATTCTTGTCAGCCCCTATTGCCCAAGGCCCACTGCATTGACCCATCGAACTCCTTTCTGCAGATATTATATTTTAGGATCCAACAAATTTACGATACTTTCATTAATAAAACTCCAAGACTTGTTCTTTTCTCATTTCTTTTAGAGAGAAGAAGGTACTGTATGAAAAGTTTGTAGCATAGAAAAATTTTTATTACATCGTATGATAAAAAGGGATTTTGTAGTGGAATATGAAAGTCTCAGGTTATATTGATTCTCTTAGAACATTCCAATATATCCTTGTCTTATATGGGATACATATTGTCTCAGTGTTTCCTGAGGTTCTTGAAGTTTTGTAATCTTTGCTCAGTGAAGGTCAGTGATCCCTATTACACTTTTCTCATTTTGAAATTGAAGGTATATGAGGTTTGTTCGATAGATTTTGCTGTTATTGTTCCTTCTACTGATCCCGAAACCCCAGCAGTAAATTTCATAGTATTATTTCCATCCTACCATCTTTGGTAGAAAACTCTGTACCCTAACTTTTACTCACAGCTATAGTGTCATCACCTCTTGTAGTGAGTAAGGTTGTACAGGTGTATCAAATATCTGCCTGTATCAAAAACCTGTCAGTATCAAACCATGAGGTTGTCCTAGGATACCTTAAAGGACATTTTAGTTTGGGGAAAAAGGAAAAGAAACCCCAGTATTATATCTTAGTCATAAAATATGTCCTGGGATAGTTTACTTTGGCTGAACGCCAGGTATCCACCGAGGCTGCGCAGATCTCCCCACCCCCCAGAGGGAAAAGGAAAGATGAAAAAAATGTAAAAACCTGGGATTTACCGAGAAAGGCAGTTTTATATTTACACAGAGAGGAAAAAAAGGAACTATAAGCACTATACACACAGGGAAAATTAACAATAAAGACTACTTCCCCATGAAAGGCGTTTTCCTCCGAAGAAGAAGCAGCCTGTCTACCACCATGTAGCTACCCACAAGAACAGAGAGCCCTTACTTCCTTCCAGTCTTTTATATCTGAGCTGATGTAACACAGTATGGAATATCTTATTGGTAAAATATACGTCAAATGACCTATCCTATTCCTGTTTCCTTCTCAGGGAGAGTAGCAAACCCATCACAAATACTGACCTTTAAAGGCTCCTCTTTCTGAATTTTTCCCCTGTAACAGCTCTAATGTAGCATGCATGGGAAGATATGAGGATCTAATAAAGCCATATTTAAACAAATAGCTAACCAAACCAGACTAGGAAATACTGAGAAAAACTAAACTGAATGCAGCTGTACTATGGAAGAGGGCCTGTATAAGCTTCTTATGTGTGTAATACATAATGGTATACACATGATACACAAAGCACATGGTACACAGGCCACTTGTACCTCCAGAGAAGGAGAATGAAGGCAGGTATGAAAGCCATAGTGTCCACTCCTCCCTAGCATTGAGAGAACACTGAAACCGTGTCACAGCTTTGTGCTCTAAATTGAATGTCTCCTTCAAGTTGATATCTTGAGATCAAACCCTCTCTGGACAGACTGCCATCTAATCTCTCCTTTGAAAGGATAAACCAGAGCACAGTGTTTCCTTCAAAGACAAATTGAAGGAAAAGACAAAGAAATTGCTTTGTAGGGGCAGAATGGTTATGAGAAGGTGCTTCCGAAGTGGGACACAGTTTTTAGCCTTCAACCTTGAGACTTCCTAGAAGAATGTCTAAGCCTCACGCTAGGAACTAAGGGCAGGGAGATGGAGGCACAGGCTACTGAATCACAATGAAGGCATTTTCTGCCATGATCCTGGTCTTAAGGGTTCCAGTTGGACTTTGCCCTACTCTAAATGCCTGCACCCTTTATGGGACTGAAAGACAAATTTATTGTTGGAATTTACAAGAGACAAAGATGAGCTCAGAGATCAGGCACTGCCTGGTTTCCACAAAGCTAGTAAGAGACCGAGATTTTCTAAATAATGGACCACAAAGTGATCTGGTGTAAATCCTTCCACATGCTCTGGGTTAAGCCTTCAGCAGGGGTAAAACTAACTTCATAATGTTCACCAAAAGCATAAGAACTGAGTCACAGACCCTGTAATGAATTCCCTGTTGCCTTGCGGGACTTGCTTTTTCAAAGGACCTCATTTTTTAATAACACAATTGATACATAGACTAGAACTGCACTGGGAGGTGGTGTGTTCTTACAGTATTAAAAATTAAATTAATTACCCTTAAGTTTTCAGAGCATACATACTGAAGTTTAGATTTTTTGTTATCAAAAGTGGGTTTTTTCAGCCTAATTAACTGTATTACTGCTGATGAAGCATAGTGCATATTTCAATTGCTGTAGCTTCAAGATGAATGTTAAACAATCTATTTCCTAAGTTGAACTGGACTTAATATTCTGTTCGAATCTTCCAAACTACTCCTCTTTCTTCACATATGATGTTTATCCAGTCATTCTCAGTGTTGCTTATTCTCACCTTTTAAAATGAGTTTTGCTTGTTTTAACATGCCAGTTAAAACTGTGTGTATGCAGTATGGTATGTAGGTAGGTATCAGAGCTTTAATCTTATATACATATTAAAATGCATTTCTTATACATCTTTCCATAATCATTTGTTCTCTTCAAGAGAATTCAGTGTTCTTTTCCTAAAACAGCCTTTGCGCACCATGTGGGCAAGTTTTCTAGAAACAGAGATGATGATGTGAGACTCATCCAAGGCAGGAGCATATCTGTGAGATCAGATGCTACATCTCAGCAAATATGAAACTGTTGTCTGGAGGGTTTCTTTCCAAAAGTCTGCCTTTGCGAAGGGGTTGCTGGACAAGCCTGCAACTGCTTCGGCAGCTTGTGTGTAATATGCAGACTGTTCCACAGGCAAACAGCAGGTTTCCTCCTCCTCGTGCTTGAGTCACTTTATAAAGGAAAAACACATGCCTGGGCTTCAAGATACTATTTAACTCTCTCCAAGAATG